TCTTCACATGGGGTGAAGGTAGGGGCAGGTCCAGGGGTCAGGCTGGAGGGGTGGCTTAGGTGGTCTGCCCTAAGAGAACATCCTGGTCCCTCAGGCCCAGCCTCCCTCACGCTCTGCTCCTCCATCCCTGGTGTCTGGGGCTTATCCACAAGGCCACTGCATGACTCTGATGACCGATGCGACTCAGCCTTCACAGTCCACTGCCCAGCCTGCCTCAGCAGGCTCATGACCTTCACCATGACTGGCATTAGTAGACTGGCTTTGTGACACGGGGGCAAACAGACCCAAGTTTGGTTTGGTAGCATTCAGCTCCAAATTTCAGATGATAAAAAAAAAAATCTTTCTCTTCACTGACCTCTGTCTAAAACGTCACATTTCCTTTCATTGTGACTTTGGCATGCACTCACATCCCAGGTGGTCTCACGTCACAGGACCATGTGGAACATCTCAGTGTCCCCTGTATTCACCCCCACAGCCAAGCGCCGAGGTTTGATAAATGGGTGAAGATGTGCTTGGGTTACTACTTAGTGTGAGTTCTCTGGGGAGCTGGCCCGGAGACAGGGATTCCAAAGCCAGCGGTTTGTTTGGGACATTTGGGCATAACGTGGTCACAGGAGGAAGGAAGGTGGCAGTGAGGTGTATGTCATTCAGGCAGCGAGCAGAGTGGGACCCTTCAGGAAAGTCCGGAACAGGATGCAGCCTACGTACCCCCTCCCCTGAAGAACGAGGGAGCTGGGGGTGCCCTTAAAACACTCCAGAGCCGCTGGTGAGGGCTTTGGAGTGAGGGAGCAGGGCACACAACACTGCTGAGTGTGCAGCGCATTCTGAGTGCAGCGGGTGGGAAGGGACAGCTGTGTCACCCAGCCGGGCTTGTAAGATTTTGACAGCTGCATCTTGGTAGAGCTGGTTTGTTCCGCCACCCTATATATTCAACGCACTTGTAAGCACTCATTAACTTCACCTGGTACAAAGGGGGCCTGGGCACCACCAAAGAGGCCTGCCCCAGGGCCAGCTATGGTTTACAGAAGTTCCAGCAGGGGTCAGGGTGATGGGGAGCCCCAGGGATGCAGACTGGCAGACCCCAGTCGGTGGGAAACTCTGCTGGGCTAAGGGAGCGGGATCCCCCAGCACCTACGAGGAAACAGAGATGGAGGGGGAAACTTCTAGTTTAAAAAGTGACATGAGAGACACCATTACTAATGGGTGAGCATGCATGCATCCAACTGTTTTGTGGGGATGGACTCTAGCCCACCAGGATCCTCTGTTGTGGAATTTTTCAGGCAAGAATACAGGAGTGGGTTGCCAGTTCCTCCTCTAGGAGAATCTCCCTGATCAGGGATCAAACCTGAAGCCTACTAATGGGTAGACCTGATTTAAATTGTAACTCAAACTGAAAAATTATGACAATGGTGAGACCACTAGAAAGTTCAACACACTGTTCGATGACATTAAGGAATTATTGCTTTGGTTTTTTAAAAATCTCACTCTTCTCTTCTAGGAATTCATTCTGATGTAGTAACAGATGAAGTGGTTTGAGGAAGGAGACTTCAGCATAATGGGGATGGGGGAGGAGGGGGTGGATGGAAGAGGGAATACAAAACATGGGTCCTAGGAGCATCACCAGATTATCTGTTATCCTCTTCTCTCTGTGTGTATACTTGTCTACAATTTTCTAGAGTAAAATATTATAATTCCCTGTGGTCTTGCTGTGTCTACACCATGTGGGCCCTGCCTGGCTCTGCCTCCTGTCCCCAACCTTCCTGCCTGGCTCCACCCCCACCGGCTTCCCAATTCTTGAATTCCATGCTGCTGGGCCCTGATTCCTGGTATTCATTTCCTGTGGCCGCTGGGAAGAATTACCACACACTTTGGGCTTCCCTTGTGATTCAGACAGTAAAGAATCTTCCTGTAATGCAGGAAACCCAGGTTTGATCCCTGGGTTGGGAAGATCCCCTGGAGAAGGAAATGGCAACCCACTCCAGTATTCTTGCCTGGACATGGTGGAGAGTTTGACAAAATGTGGAGAAGGGAATGGCAAACCACTGAAGCATTGTGGCCTTGAGAACCCCATAAACGGTATGCAGAGGCAAAAAGGTATGACACCAGAAGACGAGCCCCCAGATTGGTAGGTGTCCAATAAGCTACTGGGGAAGAACAGAGAAATGGCCCCAGAAAGCGTGAAGGGGTCGACCAAAGTGGAAACGATGCCAGGTTGTGGGTGTGTCTGGTGGTGAAAGTAAAGCCCATGCTATAAAGAACTTTCACTTTAGTGGCCGAAGACAAGAGAAATGTGCTCTCACAGCCCTGCAGGCCGGAAGCCTAACATCGAGGTGTGGCTGCAATCCTTCTGGAGGCTCCAGGGAAAATCATCTCTTTCTGCTCTAGTCCCTGGAGGGGCGCACACCCTGAGGCTGGTGGGCCCGTCCCACCTCCAAGGCCAGCAAGGCGGCTCTTCTCCCCTCTCTGCCTCCCTCGTCATATCTGCTATCTCTGGCTTGGAGCCTTAGCCTCTCCGTCCCGAGGAGTCTGTGATGACATTGGACCCACCCAGATTATCCAGGTCACCTCCGTGTCATGGTTCTCAGCCTAATCCCACCTGCAGAGCCCCTCTATGAGTGAGATATCCTACTCACAGGTACTGGGGTAGGAAGCAGTCATTTGGGGATCATGGCTCAGCCCACCAGCTCCTTCTGTCTCTTGTCAGTCTCATGACTCCCTCACACTCACAAAGGTCACCCCACCCCAGGGGCAGCCCCAGCCACTCCACCTGAGACAGCGCACCTGCCCCATCTCTTTCCTACACCATTTTCCTCCGTAGCAGAACTGTTGCACCATAATTTGTATCATGTTTGTCCACATCTTTGTCATCTTCCCCACTGAAATATGAGTTCCCAGGGAGCAAGGGAATCTCGGACTCTGAAGAATCCCAGCTAGAGCAGTTAGTGACTGGCATGTAATAGGTGCTCTTTAAAATGTATCCGGTAAGTGAATGGATGTGCTCCTGACCCTCAGTGCCCTGTCGGTGCAAGCTGAACCCTCTACCTGTTCATCTCCAACCCACCATTTGAAGCTGTGAGAAACAGTGTGTCTCTCCCACTGCACACAGATATGTTTTGGCATCACCATCTTCAAATAAGACCCTCCTGGAAGCGCAAAGAGTCGGACACGACTGAGCGACTGAACTGAACTGGAAGCTCACCTCTTCTCCAGATCCTGCTTAATCTCTCTGAGCCCTTTCTTGGTAAATGTCTGTAAAGCATCACCCATTCTTGACTTCTGGGTATCATCTTTCCTGCTTTTCCTTCCACCTCACTTCACTTCTGCAAGCCCCTGCTCCTGGAGTCGTTTAGTCACTCAGTCACGTTTGACTCTTTGCAACCCCATGGACTGTAGATAGCAGGGCTCCTCTGTCCATGGGATTTTCCAGGCAACAATACTGGAATGGGTTGCCATTTCCTTCTCCAGGGGATCTTCCCAACCCAGGGATCAAACTCATGTCTCCTGTATTAGCAGGCATGTTCTTTACCACTGACCCACCTGGGAAGATGTTTAAATACATGGTTTCTTCCCTTCTCGCAACCAGCCCAGAGTTCAAATGCCACTTGTACGTGGACAACCCAAGTTTACTGCATCCCAGGCCCTGCTCTGAGCTCCAGCCCCAATGATCCAACACAGTCAGCACCTGGCATCTCCACTTGCTTTCATCTCCATCTCAGTTTAAACTGTTATTGTCAAACATGATTATAATAACCCTAGTCTTGCTAGTTCATTTGCCATCTATTCATGGTTACACCAGGACATACTGCCTTGTTCCTCTCTTCCTCTTCGGCATCTCATTAATCAGTAAGTCCCAAAGCTTCAGTCTCTAAAATGTTCCTTGAATCCACCTCTCCTCACTGCCTTTCACCACCTAGATTCCAGCTCTTTGTGAAATACAATGATTTCTCACAGGAGCCAGACACATACACCAGTAGCTGGTTCACACCTGGCTTCCGCAGAAGATGACCCCACGACCAGACCCGCACAGATCTGGGACTTCCTTTCAGGTGTGTCCACCAGCGCTCGGCACTTCCATTTGCCATCTAGTTGGTTGCTTTCAACTGCTTTTTTAACCAGTTTGAACTGGTGTGGAGTTGACCCTACCAACCCATGGACAGTCCAAGTTATTCCTGGGGACCCAGGGCAAGTAGTAATCATGCCGCCTTCACTCTTAGAGTCCCCATTTAAACAATAAATTATACAGGCATCCTGTTTACATACCAGCCTGGAGAACATCTGGCATGTTCTCTACTGAGTTCCCCGAGAGCAAAGATTATGACCTATTCATATATCTGTCACAGCATATTCATAAATGTTTACCAGCATCTAGCATGGTGAATGGCACATAAACAAACATTTGTCAACTCAGAGAAGATAAGAATAGCCCACTCTTTCACAGGGAACTCTACTCAATATTTTGTAATACCAAAAAAATCTGAAAAATCATATAAATATATGATATAAATATATTTTTTATAAATATAATAAATATAAATAATATAATAAACATTAAATATCACACTATATTAAATATGATATAATATTCTATAATATTGTTGTATAATTTTAATACAATAATATTATAATAAAATCATATAATATATACAATATAATATATAATAATATATAATGTGATAATAATAATACTATAATATAATAAATACACATTTATATACATGTACATGTACATATATAAAACACACACATATATATAATTGACTCACTTTGCTATATACCTGAAACTAACACAACATGCTAAATCAACTACACTACAATTAAAAAAAAGAAAAGAATATCCAGCTATGAGGTCAAGAACACTCAAAAGAACTAAGTGAGCCTTCTTATCTATAAGCCAGTCTTTCCCTCTTTGCCAGAAGAGAGGGTCTTGCAGTCAGAGGACCGTCCAGCCTGCAAGATTCCTTAAGGCCCTCCTTCCCCACCCGGAGATCCCGGTCGCTCACCTGCACACGTGCCGTCCAGCTCCGGGGGAGACGAGCCGGGTGACTTCAGGTAATCCACACACTGGTGCGAGCCCTCCACGTTCAGACACAGTTCCCTTCCCGAACAGGTGTTGAGTTCACCATAGGAACACTCGTTCACGTCTGCGGAGAAGAACAGGTGAGGATGCTCATCGGGGCCACCCCCATCAACCTCAAGATGTGTCACACGAGCTGAGGAAGTGGATGGCGCTGCGGTCTTGGGGGCCCTCTTAATGCTCTGACTTAGAGGCCCCATCGGCCACAGCCTCCTCCACCAGAGCAGCCAGCCCGCAGCTCAGGGCACAGCTGTGGCCTGAGGAAATCACTTTAGGGCTGTGTTGAGTCTGAATTCATGGGGTCCGGGCATCCTCCCCATGCATCAGCCCTGTGGGCAGCACTGTGTGGACGGGGAAAGAGGGCAGAGCAGCCCTTCTGTGCAGAAGGGGCCTGGCCCTCCCCTATCTGGTGGGAGCACAGCTCAGAACAGGCAACCAGGCTTCTCCATGGCCAGGACAGAGTGACAAAAGACAAGACCATTTATCTAAGCCATACAGAAAAAGACCAGCATCTCCCGCCAAGTACCAACCCCCTCTCTTGGCCACAGTGAGGGGCTATCCATTCTTTACCAACCCTAGCACATCTTCATGCTGGCTGCCCCTTCCTGTGGGTAAGATTTGTTGAGATACCAGTCACAGAATTACCTCTGCTTTGGGACAGCATCCAAGCTAGAACAAGTCCCACATCCTCACCCATTCTTCTCCCAAACCACCCAATTCAAGCTGCACCTATAATGGATGTTCTCAGATGCCCTACCCCCAAGATGCAAGTGATTGAGACACAATCCCTCCTTGTTCACCTACAGGAGAGTTCTCAGGGTCCCCCCGACAGAAACCTGTCAGAACAGACAAGACAAGCACTTGGGGCTTATGGACACTGCTTAGTCTGGTTTTTAAGAATAGTTGTGGAATTTGAAGATAATTAAATGCCATCATTAGAGCTTTCCCCAGGCTTCCCTGGTGGATCAGTGGAAAGAATCAGCCTGCCAATGCAGGAGATGTGGGTTCCATCTCGGGGCCGGGAAGACCCCCCTGGAGAAGGAAATGGCAAGCCACTCCAGGATTCTTGCCTGGGAAATCCCATGGACAGAGGAGTCTGGTGGGCTATCGTCCACGGCCCCTCAAAGAGTCAGACATTACTTAGTGACTAAACAACAGCAAAACAGCTTTCCCCAGGCTGCAGACTCTGGCATCTTGGTGTGTGACCTCCAGCGTCCTGGAATGAGCTGTCTCACAAGAGTAGCCACTCTCCCAGGGACACAGCAATCTTCAGCTGCCTCCTGTAGCTCAAAAGAACCTTCTACTGAAGTCCACCCATCTGCTCACAGACTGGCCACAGCTACTTTCATGCCACGTGGTAAAGCCAAGCAGCTGAAACAGCCCATGAGGCCCACAGCCAAAAAAAAATTTACTATCTGACCATTTTTCAGAAAGTTTGCTGACCCCTGACATAGAAACACACACACACACACACACACACACACACACACAAATACCAGGTAATTTCTTCCAAAAACACATCAGTGTGCTTCACCAAATTCAGCTCTGTATAAATTCTGGTTCAAGACTCTTTGGGGACTTCCCTGATGGTCCAGTGGTTAAGAATCTGCCTTCCAATGCAGGGGACTCAGGTTCAATCCCTGGTCAGGAAACTAAGATCCCACATGCCACGTGGCATGGCCAAAAACATCTTTCTAGATACAAGGATGTCCTTGGCAACGGTGGGAAAGAGACTAGAGGGCAATCTGGGACCCCAAGAACAGATGACGCGGGTTGCTTGTGGGCTGTTCTGGGACTCAGCCTCCAGTCCCACCTGGATGGAAGGAGAAGCCCGTTGTGAGAGGTGAACAAGGTGGGGTGAGGGGAGAGGAAGGTGATGCTGGTACAGAACCAGTTCTCAAAATCTTGACTTCGGCATCTAGAGTTTAAACTTCGAGCTGGGGTGAGCCAGAGGTGAGTACGCCCTACCCCCCAACTGGATGATCCTCCCAGCACTCCTGTGGCCCCTGACCCCAAGGGGACCACTGAGGGAAGCCCCACCTTGCACTTGGACATTGATCACTTCATAGATGCGCTTCACCACACCGTCCAGCACTGCGGAGACACGGGCCACGGGCACCGGCCTTGGCAGGCCCAGCAGCAGCCGGGACACTGTGGTCGAGGTGTCCCTCCCGGCCGAGTGCAGGTGGTGGACAGTGGTGTCCAGAGGCTCCAGAGCACTGGTGACCTGTGAAACCAGGGTCAGAGCATCATGCGGTAGAAGGGTACCCCATCAGGTAGACTGGGAGAGGATGGAGGTCCAGAGATGTTATAAGCTGTACACACACACACCATTCTCCTGTGCAAAAAAGAAAAATCTCTACAATATTTTTATTTCTGCCTTCATTCCAATAGAAGTCCTGCAAACCAGATTATACTTTGCAGCTGAATCGTGTCCCCCGCCCCAACCAAAAACAATCTCCACATTGGAGTTCTAGCCCCCCAGCACCTCAGAATGTGACCTTATTTGGAGACAAGGCTGCTGCAGATTAATTATTAAGATGAGCTCATTAGGGTGGGCCTTGCTCCAACATGACTAGTGTCCTTCCACCAAGGAATTTGGACGCAGACAGACGCTGGCAGAAGGAAATGGTGTGAGGACACAGGGGGAAGCCAAGAAGAGATCTGACGTGTACCCCCGCCTGTGCGCTCTGCCACGGTAGCCCCAAAAAGAGGCACGGGTCAGTGTGGGACCCCCCCCAACCCCTTGCAGCTGACAACAGAGAATCAGGTCTGGAATTAGGTGTCAAGTCACGTCTGATATTTTCTGAAGTTTAATGATCCCTTTTCTCATTCCACTTGACTTCCTTTTGTTCCAGTCTAGTATCTTGACATCTCAAGGTATTATTGGCCTTGGGAAGCCAGGAAAAGCAGCATGACCAACAGGCAGAAGAGCCTCACTGAAGCAGGCTTTGCCAAGAAGCTCCCGAGTCTCCCCAGGGAACCAGAAGGTGTTTTGGGGGCACCAAAGCCTGTACCCTCCTCGGCAGGCTTGAAACCCTTCACGGGGGTCGGCAGAGCCGAAAGCCAACACCAGCCTCTTGCAAACCCCTTAGTCAGAGTGCCTAGCATTTGCTACAGTCAGGAGCCCACGCGGACAGGCTTCTCCGGCAGGGAGGAAAAACCCTACACACACGAAGAGTTAAAGGGTGACAGGAGACAGTGACATACAAAAACCAGCAACCACAGCAGCTCAGAACCTACCCAGATCAGCATCATCTTAAGCTCTTTACATGGACTGTCTAAACCTCACAGACGCTGTCTCAGGTAGGTTTATGATGATTTCTGTTTAACAGAATCTAAGGCACAGAGAGGTTAAGTAACTTGCCCAAGGTCACACAGCTGATGAGTGACAGTGTTGGGATTTGAATCCAGGCAGTCTGGCTGCAGACTGGCCATGTTCTTACTGGCATACTGTGCATCGCAAACTCTGCAACAAGCTAAGGAGAGACAGAAATCTTTCCAGTGGACACTTCTGGGTCAAGGTGATGACTGAGAGTACCTCTCAAGCCAGTTACTTGACAGCCCAGAGCAATGAGAGGGAGTGTGCCTTCTGTTTGGGGCTCACCCTAGCCAACTCTGGGTCTGATGTCATGGCACATGGAACACATCTGTGGGGCCTGATGGTCAGGCGGGACCAGCCACGCCCAGTGCACAAGGAAAACAGGCAGCCCCTTGTTCAGGAATCATCAAGCATTTCAAGAGGCAATGGCCGAGCATCTCTCCAGGTGCAGGGCCCTTCAGCGCATGTGGGGGATTGTGTGGGTCATTCGTCTGGGAAGCTGGGCCTGAGGTCAGACCACCATATAGGGCAGGCACCTCACAGTGGGTGACGGGCAGTGCCTGCCCCTGCTGGCTGGGTTCCTAGGACCTGGGTGGGGGCGTGGGGGACACCCAGAAGGTGAAGATATCCTGCTGGTTGGAGGCGTTGCTGAGGCACCGGAAAGTTTGAGCTGTGTCTAGGCTGGGGCTCCCCAGGGGGCTGGTGTCACCCCTCAGGGAACCTGTGGCTTCGCCTGGAGACAGTTTTGGTTGTCACAGCTGGGCACATTTTGTGCTTAGAGCCAGGCCTGCCACAAAATTCTATGGGACAGGCAGCCCCACAGCAAAGACCCATCCAGCCCCAATCATGGATGGTGCCAAGGGGGTGGAGCCCTACCTAGAGGCCCCATCCGGCACCTTCCAAACTTCTGAGATGCTCCCTCAATCGGGAGCCATAACTCGGGATCCCTAAGGGAGGTACTCAAGGGTACAGCTCCAGGGCCTGGGCCGGCTGCACCCAGCACGCTGTGCTTAAGCAACAGACCCTGGAGAGAGGAGGAGTTCCCTGCTCCACGCCATGAGGGTGCGGGGCTTGTATACTGGGTACCTAAAAACACACCAAATGGCACGCTTGCAAGAGTGCATTTTGTTGCATGAAAATCATACCTCTTTCAAGCCATTTTTAAGGAAGATCTCACTTTTGGCTCAAAGGCACTCACTTGGGGTCACTCATGGAGCCCCTTCCTCCCCCTCCAACCTACCATGGAGTGTAGGAGCCTCATGTGATCCAGAAGCCGTGGGTCCACCTGCTGGAGCTCCTTGAAGTCCATCTTCACCACAACTGTCACGTTGTACCAGCAACCCTCCCGCTTGCTGTCTGGAGCTGTGTGAAGGAACATGGGTGAGCCATGGGCCCAGGACAGGGGGGGGTCACCAGAGGTCACTGGGGCAGTGTGGCACACTCCCCCGCCTCCTCTCCAGGCTCCTCTCATACTACAGATAATCCTATGTATACTATATAGTATATTATTACATACAATGTATACTAGATGGGCTTCCCTGGTAGCTCAGATGGTAAAGTATCGGCCTGCAACGCAGGAGACCGGCGTTCCATCCTGGGTCAGGAAGATCCTTGGGAGAAGGGAATGGCAACCCCTCCCGTGTTCTCGCCTGGACAATCCCATTGACGAGGGAGCCCAACAGACTACAGTCCACGGGATCGCAAAGAGTCAGACACAACTGAGAGACTAACACTTTAACTTCACTTCGATACTAGAAAATACTGTATATATTATTTATAGTATATAAACTATAATGTGTACAGTATGAGTATCATTATATATTACATATAATATAATACCCCCTGGACTATACAGTCCATGGAGTTCTCCAGGCCAGAATACTGGTGTGGGTAGCTGATCCTGTCTCCAGGGGATCTTCCCAACCCAGGGATTGAACCCAGGTCTCCTGCATTGCAGGCAGATTTTTGGCCAGCTGGGCCGCCAGGGAAGCCCAAGAATACTGGAGTGGGTAGCCTATCCCTTTTCCAGTGGATCTTCCCAACCCAGGCATCGAACTGGGGTCTCTTGCATTACAGCCAGATTTTTTTTACCAGCTGAGCTACCAGAGAAGCCCTGTAATATAATACAGTAAATTATATACTCTATTACTTTATACTATGCTAAGTTATGTGCTATACCAATAAATAATGAATTACAATATATATTGCACCATATATAATATGATGCGTGTGTGCTCAGTTATTCCAAGTCTTTCCATGGACCATAGCCCACCAGGCTCCTCTGTTCATGGGATTTCCCAAACAAGAATACTAGAGTGGGTTCCCATTTCCTTCTCCAGTGGATCTTCCCAAACCAGGGATTGAGCCCGAGTCTCCTGTGGCTCTTGCATTGGCTAGCAGATTCTTTACCTCCTAGTGCCACCTGGGAAGCCTATATAAAACATATACAATTATATGTGTTTCCCTAGCCCTGAACCTTGACGATTGCCTTCTCCTAGGGTCCCGCCAGGAGAACCTGAGAACCAGGCCATGGTCCTGCCAGACACAGTGGTCCGCATGGGGCTGCACCAGCTGACAGCCCGACACCACCCAGCTCTGACACAGCTCAGCTCCCAGCAAACTCACCGGAGCCCCAAGGGCTTCCCCTGTCAATCTGGGGAAACTGGGGCCCCTGCTCTTCCGGGAACGTCTTCCCCACTCAGGGCATCTGTGAGCACACGTCCCCCTGAGGGGTCAGGGGCCAGATATTGATGAGTGGAACAGGCCAGACATAGGCTGTAGGCTCCCTGTAAAACCCAGGCTGCTGCTTCCAGAAACCCACCGCCCCCCGCCCCCAGATCAGGCCCCTGCCCTACCTGGGGCTGCAGGGGCTGAGCAGCGGTGGCCCCCTGATGAGGGGCAGCACTTCTGAAGACCAGGACAGTCAGCATCCAGGGTGCACGGCAAGGCGGACGCTTCCAGCCCCACCACCGGGCAGCTCCCAGGTCTGGAGGCAAACTCCTGAGACCGGTTCAGGGCTGGGGGGACAGGTGATGAGGTGATGAGTGATGAGTGGTGCTGGCTCTAGAATCCCCAATGGGACACGTGGTGCTACATCCAGATGCTTCTGGGCAGAGGGATCCGTCTGCAGCTCTGAGCCACGCAGAGCAACCCACTCAAGGGCCTCGCCACGCCCTGCAGAGGAGCCATTAAGACCGTTTGCTCTGACTCTAATGTATCCTGACCAACTTTTCTGGGAGGAGGGCAACTTTGGCTGGGGGCCTGGGTGTCCTCTTTCTCTTGGCCTTAGGAGTCCATGTACAGGGGGCCCCCACCACCCCCTGAGAGGCCCACTTGCTGCTTTGCGTCTTAACAGCTCACTCACTCATCCAGTATTTACTGAGCACCTACCATGTGCCAGGTTCAGCACAAGGTGCCCAGCACCCAGGAGAAGGCCAGAGGCAAAGTCTCTGCCTTCAGGATACTTGGAGTCCAGTGGATGGGGGCCAGTGTACAAACAGAACTATGGGAGTTCGAGCAGATGAACACTGCGGGGAGGAAGGCAGGGCCCGGAAGCAGGTGGGCAGAGAAGACTGCACTGTAGAGAAGCATCTATAGGGCTCCAGTATCAGAGGCTTCCCGCTGCCTGCACCCATCACCCTGGTCCAGACTGCACCATCTCTCACCTGGACCATCACAATGGGCTCTCAGACAGGCCCCTGCCTCCCCGGCAGGCAGGACACAGCTCAGACGAGCATGTCAGACTGCCCTTGGGGAGGTCAGCGAAGCAGGATAGGAGAGGGAAGGAACAGAGAATGTGGATGATTTCATGGCGTTGGCCAAGGGGTGGAAAGGTGCTTTGTCAAACTGCAGGTACTGGGGGCTCTACATACGGTGTGCGGCAGCTCCAGTCCCCGAGAGCCACCTGAGGGTCCTGGAAGATGGGGACACAGAATAACATGAGATGGGGTCTATAGGAGCCTGCAAGCCATCAGCCTTTATGCCTGGGCAGGGGGCAGCAGTGTGCAGAGTGAGGGGTAAAGGCAAGAATGAGGAGTGGGCCTGGTGATGGCATAGTGGGTGAGCAGGTGGGCTGGGTCAGGAAGCTACAGGAAGAATGGGCTCGGGCGCAGCCAGAATTTGGCTGTGCAGATGGGAAGCTTGGCAAGCCTTCAGGGCCTGCACATGGAAATGTGGGCAGCGTGGACTGTCGCCTCCCCGGTCAATTCCCGGGAGGTCCATTGAGGTCAGGCAGCAGGGCTGTGGGCTTCACGTCTCCAGAGCCACCACTCACAACGTGCTCTGCGTGGAGTGATACAGCTCCGGGCAGACGATGCGGATGTGCAGGCAAGAGCCCGCAGGAAGTGAAAATGATGTGGGGGGGGCGGGGCGTGTGGCCAGATGTGATTGGAGCCACCATGTGAGACTCGGGGAAACCAGTGCCCTAACCCTTAGCCAGGGGCCTGGGGGAGTCATGAGTGGGCTTTTAAAGAAAAAGGGCTTTTAGCAATCTAAGAATCTGCAGGGTCCTAGGGGATGTAGCCAGGAGCCAGGGTGCCCATATTCAGGGACAGAAAAGCACAGAGGATAGACAGAGCGGGAACCTGGGAGAAGCTGGGTGTGCTGCTCTGGAGGCAGGTGGCCAGGTGTGAGCCAGCGCTACGGGACATCCAGGCATCAGGGGCAGCAGGGCTGACCCCCAGGAGAACCTGTGAGTCTGTGCAAGCCCAGCAGTGGATGGAGCTGAAGGCAGCATAGGACACCAAAGGCTTCACAGCCCTGAGCTCCAGGGGGCTAAGAGCAGCAGGGAGAAAAGCACCAGGAAGGTGAGACCCCAGCGCCAGCATCCGAGAAAGGGCCTGCATGAGGTCTGGCTACCCACCCGGGGATAAGTGCTCCATGCCAGCATGAATGTCACTCAAACCCATCTGGCTCCCGCCCAGATCCACGTAAGGCTCTGTGTCCCACACAACATTCAGAAGCACAGCTCCAGGCCCCTCAAACCCCTGGAAAGTCAGAGGAGGCGTGACAACCGTGCTCTGGAAAGACGCCTACAGAGCTGGGGAGGACCAGTCCCTGGGGGGACTTGTGGGCTCGCCGGGTGGAAGGGAAGTGCTGAGTACTGACGGTGGTCCTCTGGGGTCCCCTGAGCTCTCTGCAGGGTACTCCACAGACAGAAAAGAGGGAGTGGCCCCTCCTGCTGGGAACACATCACCAGGGCAGCTGCATTGGCCAAGGAGAAGATTTAGCTGCTGAAACACATGCAGAGAGGGTCCCCAGCAGCTCTCTCCTTGTGGAAGCTGAGTCCGGGCTTGAGGGTCATTCTCAGGAGTGCTCTTCTCTCCACGCTGCCCTTGGCTCCTTCCTCACTTCCTAATTGTCTCGGTAGCTAGTCCAATGTCTGAAGTCCTGGAGAAGCGGCCACACAGGGAGGGTTTTGGGGGCATGAAGAACAGACGCGCAGGGCAGCCCAAGAGGCGGGGCTGAGATGGAAATGCGGAAATCCCTGGAGGGCCACCAACCAGGGGTCCGGAGCTCTGTACTTTCTCGCCCATCATAAAAACCAGCAACCTCACCACTGAAGATATTTGATACATGAATCTAAATGTATTAATAACCTGGGCCCTGGGACAGAAAAGTGATGTTGGGGGGGAATGGAAATCCAAATAAAGCATGGAGTAGAGCTGACAGCAAGGCACCCGGGTTGGTACATGCACCCTGGAAGTGTCAGAACTAACATTACGGACTCTGGGAGAGGAGGCGGGGGACTTTCTTTACTGTCTTGACAAATCTTTGTCTGGAAATCTAAAATTATTCCCAACCAAGAAGGATGAGCACTGAAGAATTGAAGCTTTTGAACTGTGGTGCTGAAGAAGACTCTTGACAGTCCCTTGGACAGCAAGGAGATCAAAGCAGTCAATCCTAAAGGAAATCAACCCTGAATATTCATTGGAAGGTCTGATGCTGAAGCTGAAGCTCCAATACTTTGGCCACCTGACGCGAAGAGCTGACTTATTGGAAAAGACCCTGATGCTGGGAAAGATCGAAGGCAGGAAGAGAAGGGGATGACAGAGGATGAGATGGTTGGATGGCATTGTCGACTCAATGGACACGAGTTTGAGCAAGGTCTGGGAGTTGGTGATGGACAAGGAAGCCTGGGGTGCTGCAGCCTGTGGGGTCGCAAAGAGTTGGACACGACTGAGTGACTGAACAACAGGAGGTTTATCTGAATGAAAGGAAAATATAGGACACGAAGAAATATCGACTTCCCAGAATGGTTGCTTGATCACAATAGAAGTACTTTTGAGTTACAGTCTGTCTTAATTTGAAGGCTTCTGGCAGTTTCTCTCTGTCCCTCAGGGCTGGCCAGCCTACGGAGAGCCCAAGAGAACAGTCAACAGTTCCAGCTTGGTAGAAAGTTAAAAATCTGCTTCTCCTTCCCTAACCCGACACAAACAATGCCTCCGGACTGCCCAGCACCTGGCCATCCCAGTTAGTCACGGTTTAATGAAATAAGGCAAAGCTTTCTATCTGAGCCACCGCCCTGAGGACTCGCCAGGGCCGGGGAGTCTGATCCACTCTGGAATAATCAGATTATACTCCTCCTCACAATCCTCTTTCCTCAAAGGGACCCTGGCCATCAGCCCAGGAGATGGGAAGTTTGGGGTAGGCTCCCAGTCCAGCGGGGTCCAAGGCGTGTCATGTGAAGGAGACCAGCCATGCAGGAACTGCAGGTATTGAGCGTCCACTGCGATGCTCGGTCCTCCTCTGAGGAATCCATCCTGGGTCAATAGTCCAACTTGTGTGCAGCCGTGTTTGCACCATACGTTACCCATTGCAGCATTATTTATAATGAAAAAAAAAAAAACTTGGAAACTACGAGATGTTAAGCGGTAGGAGATTGCTTAGTGCTGATCCATCCCTATGAGGTAATGCCTTGTGGGCATTAAATCATGCTGGAGAATGCGATCCATTGACACAGAAGATGTTCCAGATAAATTGCCAAGGGGTGAAAGCGTACAAGAAAATGTCTTCAACAGGGTGACCATGCTTTTGTAAAACGTCTGCCCTGAAGGAAACTAGAAGAAAATGTTAACAGTGGTTATTCTTGTGGGGCAAGGAGGGGGGTGATTATGGGCAATTTCCCGTTTTTTTTTTTTTCCCCCCTCCTTGGTTCCAAAATTTCCCCAACGCCTGGGGAATCCTTTTTTTTGTATTTTAAGAAGACATTTAAATAAAACCATGTATGGCTTACCATTGCTTTCAAAATGTGGGACTTAAAAAAATTGAAAAGGTCATCTAGACTGAAAAATATGCCACGTGTTCTCATAATGCTCTTCCCTTTTTTAGGTCCTTAGCTGTTGAGTGGGAGGAGAAAGAAGAGAACAAGGCTGAGGTTTTGGTGCTGCTGAGAATGAGACCTCTGAGCTGAGGTTGCTGAGATGTGAGAAGCCCCACACCCAGGTGAGCTGTTTTCTGCCCTCCTCCTTTCCCAGACACTCTGGCTCCTCCTGTGGCCACCATGTTCAGGGGCTGGCCTCTGCCGGGTTCTCTGATGATCAGTCCCAGGCACAGGTCTCCGTGCACCACTTCCAGAGACTTCTCACTTCCGGTTCCAAAGAGCCAGGCTGTCAGGAGGCATCATGAAACCAACTTTGGTCCAACATTCAGGCTTTGATCAGAGAAGCCAGGCAGGCGTGGAGAGAACTGAGCTGCCGGTACCCATGGCGTAAACTCTTCCGACCGGTACTTTCCAGCTGCCCACGTGGTGCCCCCAAGCTTGGAGGTGGGGGGAATCATATGCTCGCCGAGGACCTCACAAGCCATAGCGAACGAACGCTGCCGGTCCCCGCCCTAGGTCTGCCATCACACACCAGCCCCCTCAGCAGCCGCATTGCCCAGTGGGGTCCAGACACCGAACCAGGACTTTCCCAGTGGTCTCTGGGCCCAACACCACACACTGAACCCATCGGGGTTCAGGGAGACTCACGCCCGAGTCTGCCCCCTCTTGGTCCAGGCACTCGCCTTCCCTGGTCTCTGTCCCCATCAGCTCCTGTCCAGTGGTGACCAGGAATCTCCACTGAACGTTATAGGATGCCCGCAATCAAGCCCCCTTTTCCTCTCTCTTCTCCATCCTTCAGGGATCCTGACTGGCTCCTCTTCATGATGCTTCTGGAGCGACCCTTCTAAGGTCCGGGGGGACTGTGGACCCCCCACCCCATCTCAGCCCCGTTTGTGGGGCCTGGGGGGGCCTTCTGGGTGACTGCTCCTTCTGTCACTCCCAGCGCCTCCACCCGCTCCCCACCCTCAAAAACCAGCCACCCCATGACCTGCAGTTCCCAGAGCAGATCTGCCCACGGGACTCTTAGCTAGAATATTCTGGGCCTCTCCCACCTGGTGGGTTTCTATTTAAAGGCACTAACACTTTAAAAGTGGGGCTGAGGCCCCAAGAGGATGGTCTGCTGGGAAGAAACATGAGCGGCAGGTTCCTCCCTGCCTTCTATCCGGGAGAATTCGCTTGTGAGAATTGCGGGGCAGCAGACGGCAGAGAAGGGGGACTGCTGGGGCTGAGTGGGGCCAAGAATGCCTCCGGCCCTCTGGACTTGTGACCTCACCAGCCCCATGACAACCAGCAGGTGGGAAGTGTGGCCCCCACAGTTGAAGGTGGGCGGGGCATGGTGGCCCCTCCATCAACCAGAATCTGATGTTCCAAGCCAAGTGCCATGAGCCCCAACCAAGGCCTCCCCAACATGGCATCCCCTGCCCAAGAATAGGGTGCTCCCAGGGCGGGGGAACCACCCTTTGTACACGTGGCCCTTAGAGACAAGGAGAGCGGAGGGGGCCCACAATCAGCGCAGGAAGAGACTCCTCGGACCCAGCACCAAGGGACAGCCCCCCCATTGCCCACAAATTTCCCTTTAGGGAACCAGCATGCGCACACAGCAGCCGCCCAGCCCCAGACCTGATGCCCCCGCCCTTCCTGGCTTTTACTGGTGGTGGCGTTGGTAACCGTGGTGTCATTTCAAAGTTGCAGGGAGAGGTACGCTCCTCAGACCTGCTCACTCTGAGCTGTCCAGTCATCTCTGAGTCTGGCCTCTGAGCGGGGTCAGTGCAGATAGCTCTCCTGACCTCCGAGGGCTTTGGGGACCTGAGGGGAGGGCAAGCTCAGAAGGACTCTCTGTGCCACCCACGCAACCATCCGCAGGATATGACTGATCCCCGACTCTACATCTTATAGCCCCCGGGGTTGAGGGTGCAGGGTCCACACCTAGCCTGCTGCCTGTCCTGGCCTCCAGCCCCGGCGCTGGTGCATGTGGGACCCTCCCTGCACCCTCCCAAGCTGGCGCTTTCTGCTTTTGGAGGTGGTGGCCCTTGCATCTCAGGGTGCCCCATGGCCTCCCACAGAGCCCCACCCTTCTCGCTTCCCCTCCACCATGGGTGTGGGGACGGGGCTACCTCCTGACTGCTCAGAAACCCATCTTAGCTCTGGAACTGACTCAAAGTAATGATCACACCTCCCCCACATTCACACATGCACCCGCCTGCACCCTCGCCCTGGAAGAAGTCTGGGAAGTTCCCTTTGGGTCAAGAGGCTGAGCCCCAAACCCCCACACAGTCTGGTCCCCTCAATCTCAGACACGGCCTGGACCAGCCACACCAGTGCTGGCCACCACCCCAAGCATCTTTAAGTCACACAGAAAGGATAAGAGGGCCTGGAGGCCTCTGGACAGTTTCCATCGCTTACAGATTGGAGTTAGATAAGGATTTCACAGTCTTTAGAATGAAAAACTGGCTGCCAATATAGAGGAGATACAAATGCTGGTTCTCAAACTTAGCTGCCAGCTAGAATTCCTAGTGCACATTTGTGCCTGTTAAGCGCTAAGTCACGTCTGACTCTTTGTGACCTCACTGACTGTAGCCTACCAGGCTCCTCTGTCCTCAGGATTCTCCAAGCAAGGATACTGGAGTGGCCGTTTCCTCCTCCAGGGGATCTTCCCAACCCAGGGATCAAACCCTCATCTATTATGTCTCCTGCATTGGCAGGGAAACCCAAGAATTGCTGGAGGAGCCTTAAAAAAAAAAAGATCTCCGTGCCCAAGCTCTGCCCCAGATGGAATCCATCAGTCTCTGAGAAGGGACCCAGCCATCAGCATTTTTAAAGCTCTGGGGACTTTAATATGCAGCCATGTCTGACAGCCAACACCCATAACAGGTTCTCAAGGTGGGGCCTCATACCAGCTGCATCAGCACCCGTGAGAACGTGTACTCCACACCTGACCCACTGGATATGAAACCTTGGGCTGAAGCCAGTGCCCTGTGCTCGGGCCAGCCCTCTGAATGACCCAGCTGCACACAGGAGGCTGAGAAGCAGCATTCCAGAAGGAGCTAGTCAGTTCGGGGCTAAGGGCATGAACAGTGGCTATCCCAAGACCGGACAGGACTCACGCAGAACACAGTAAAGGCCCAGCTGCTCGTAGCCCTCACAGCAGTCAGTCACATTCCTGGGCTCCGGAACCTCCACTGCCAGGTACCGGGTCTGGTAGACGGTCTTGGGGCAGCGCCGCCAGGGGATCCAGCCGCCGCAGGGAACACGGGTCAGGCGGGACATCTGCACAGCCTCCACGCTCTGCACTCTCCGGGTCACGCTGTAGTTGCACAGCCGGAAGCCAAGCAGAGAGAGGCCTTTTTCTACGAGGAAGGGAGCAGGATGGAGAAACAAGAGAAGAAAATTCCAGGATCAAACCACCTGAGGGGTCCTCTGCAAGTCCCCCGCTTCTGCAAGAGCAGGTGAAGCAAAACCCCTGCACAGGGCAGACCCCAGGGGATCTGCCCACTGGCCTGTGTCTGAGAAGGCAATGCAGGCATGGAGACTCAAGGGATAAAGCATGACACCTGTGCTGAGCAATCCTCCTCTGCAAGGCAGGAGACGCCTCCCAGCCTGACCCTTGCTCCCCATCCCAGTGGTGCTGACTCTACACTGGAGGGAGGGATACACAGGAACCAAGAATCTGGGGCTCATGTCCTGGGCTCTGCTGTGCGTCCTCAGACTCCCTGGGCCAGAGAGACGGTGCACACCTCTCATCTCCACAGTAAGGGCTGTCACGTGCAACATGAATACATAGCAGTTCCCTCAGTGAATACACCAGCCCAACATGTGCTGGGCACACTGGTGGTGACACCCGTTTTGGAATGAGATGGAAGATAAACACACAGGTCAAGCTCATGTGAGATGTGCATAGATGGTAAAGTGCAATCTGACTGTTGCTATCATCAGCAGGAGATGAGGGTACGGCACCTGCAGTGAAACATCCAGGTAGCCTTATCCGGGCCTGAATGTCTTTCACCTGGAGCTTGGCTCCTGGGCACAGATGCCCATGGCCTTCGCCAGCATCATTACTTGGTTCTCAAGACCCTGTGGCACCTGCTCCCACCAGCCCCATGCCTCAATGTCATGGACCAGCTCACCTGGGGTCCTGGGTGTTCTACCTGCCCAGGGAGCCTCTACTGCCGCATGGAGCAGGGACCATTACTATGGGCTGAAGGATGGTGGCTGTCGTTCAGTGGCTCAGTCGTGTCCGACTCTTTGCAACCCCATGGACAGCAACACGCAGGCTTCCCTGTCCTTCGCTATCTCCCAGAGTTTGCTCAGATTCATGTCTGTTGATTCAGTGAAGCTATCTAACCATCTTGTCCTTTGTCGTCCCTTTCTCCTCCCGCCCTCAATCTTTCCCAGCATCAGGGTCTTTTCCAATGAGTCAGCTCTTCACATCCGGGCTGAAGTGTGTCCCGCCCCAAAATCACACACTGAAGGTCTAAGGCCCAGGACCTCAGAATGTGACCTTAATTGGAAGTAGGGTTTCTGCAGACATAACTGGTTGAGATGAGTTTATACTGGAACAGAGTGGCCTCTAATGCAACATGACCAGCGTCCTTATGCGAGGGGAAATTGACACAGGGAGATAAGATGGGAGATGAAGGCTGAGATCAGGGTGATGCTCCTACAGGTCAAGGTCACTCAATTCACAAGCAGTCCCAAGTCCCCAGAAGCTGGGGAGACGTGTGTCTAGGACAGACCCTCCATCCCAGACTTAGGAGGAATCCACTGTGCCCACACCTTGATCTTGAACTTCTGGTCTCCAGCCTGAGAGGAAATAAATCTCAACTGTTAAGTCCCCAAGGAATCCCTGGTGGCTCAGTGGTAAAGAATCCTCCTGCAATGCAGGAGACCCGGGTTCAATCCCTGGGTCAGGAAAAAGGAAATGGCAACACATTCCAGTATTCTTGCCTGGAGAATCACATGGATAGAAGAGCTTGGCAGGCTGCAGCCCTTGGGGTCGCAAAGAGTCAGACACAACTCAGCAACCGAACCACCACCACCAAGCCCCCCAATCTGCGGTGCTTTGCCAAGGCAGACCCCAGGGCTGACACGGGGACCATGGGGTGCCCTCCACATTTGAGGCTACTGTGGGACTCGCTGCATTCATGGGCTGTCAATGAAGGACGAATGAATGACTTGACTATATCTTCGGTTTTCATATACTCAACGTCATATAGAACTCTAAGCTCTACGAGACTGGGTAGGGGCTCTATGTTATAGTGTAAGCCTTCAGGGCAGAGCTCAGAGGGGACATCGGAAATACCTTCATCCCCACGCCAGGACAACACCACTGGAGACTCCCACCTTTGCCCTCCTGGGTGCTCAAGTGCACAGGTGCTAAGTCGCTTCAGTCGTGTCCGACTCTTTGTGACCCCATGGACTGTAGCCGGCTAGCTCCTCTGTCCATGGGATTCTCCAGGCAAGAATACTGGAGTGGGCTACCATGCCTTCCTCCAGAAAATCTTCCTGATCCAGGGATTGAACCTGCGTGTCTTACGTCTCCTGCATTGGCAGGCAGGCTCTTTACCACTAGTGCCACCTGGGAAGCCCATGGGTGCCCACAAGCATGCAGAAAGCAAGGCTTGGGGGTTGGTGACGCCCAGAAGAAACGAGGCCAAGCCAGCCCTCATGCCCAGGCTGGTGGGAGAGCCTGCAGCCTGCCTCTGGACAGAGCCGGGTGCTGAATCCCACCACCCCAGAGCGAGTCTACTCCCAAGCCACATGGTGGCCTCCCTGGGGATGGCCAGGCCTCTGGGGGTGGATGCAACCTGCACCCACCAAATAGCAGACCCCAGGAAGCCTTAGGAGTGACCAGGAGGCCCCTGGCTGGGTGGGGTAGGGCAGCAGCAGGCGGCTTCCGAGGCCAGAGCTTAGAGGTGACTGCGGGGGCTGGAGAAGACACGCAGTGAACAGGGTCACCGTGGAGCAATAGGGTGAAAAGGACAAAGCTTCCTGCGTGGAGAAGTTGGTGAGGCCGACCTAGACCTTGTTTTTCATCTGAACTGAAGACAAGATGCAACCACTGATAAAGATTACTTCTCTGCCTCCAGAAAGCCTCTGGGCCTGATCATGACAAGGTCCCAGCTGATCCTCAGCAGAGCCCTCCTGCACACAGGCATGTGCACAGATGCACACACACATGCACACAAACACACAGCAGATACACACTCACATGCAGAGACACAGGCACACATACAGACACAAACAAACAGACACAAAGACACACAGACACATAGAGACACACAGACACACACAGAGGCACACAGACATAGATACAAATTCACACACATACAATACACACACTCGCACACAAACACACAGACACAAATACAAACACACACAGCAGATACACACACGCAGAGACACAGGCACACAAACAGACACACACAGACACACACACACAAATCTTCCAGACTACACTTGCCTCTCCTTGTTTTCATTTTTTACATTCTGCTGGAGGCCACCAAGTCCTCCCCAGGCCTGGCTTCTTGCCGGAGCCCACCACAGAAACCACTGGGCATATTCTGCTGCTCAACACATCCTTTCAGGAGCACAGGAGGCGGGGTTCCCAGATTCTAATCCCAGAGGGAGAAAACCTAAGTGCTCTGGTGGGTGCTGAGGTCAGCACTCACACCAGCTCCACAAATGCCAGCCGTGTGGCTCTGACCTCATTTCATGTCCTCTCAGCACCCTGGTCTTGCCTCTTGTAAAATTGTAGCTGTGCCTGGGACTGTAGGAGGATTAAATGACATCACAGCCGTCACCCCAGTCTGTGGAACCTGGGAGCAGATAGACCTACAGCCCTGATGGACCATTGAGCTGCCCCCACCCAAAGTCCTCAGGCGCACGAAACACCCCCTGAGATCTCCTCTGGCTTCCCGACAGTCCCATCGTCCTGCCACTGACCTGAACGATGTGCAAATTACTCATTCTGGAGGAAATACCAAGTTTTCTTACAAAATCACAGTTCATAAAAAAGAAATAAGAAAATTCTGCCTAGTGGTGAAGAAATTTTAAACCAGTTCAAAACTGAAACTGAGAATAGGAACAGAACGGCTCTGCTTGAATTCCCAACAGAATAAGATGGATGTGTTGGAGAAAATGACTTAAAAGCTTTGCAATCTCAGTGCTCTGAAATCTGGGGCTTGAGAATCCCAGTGTGTTTTCGGCAGCTGACACATGTCTCTAAAAGGCCCTGGATGTGTTCTTCACCCTTCACATATCCCTGGGCCACAAGCTCCCTCATTTAATGTCGAGGAAATGGGGTTGGCAGAGCCCCAGCTGAGCGGGAAGACCCACATCCTGAACCTCCCTCCCTGGTGGGGGAAAGGGGGTCAGAGTGTGGGTTTAGGGCAGGGTCGTCCTGGTGGAAATCTTGCCCTTGGCCAGCTGTGTGGCCCTGTGTGCGTCCCTGCCACTCTAGGTCTCCCTCCCCTCTTCTGTAAATTGAAGACTAATGTGCCAAGGCTCCAGGGACTTCAATTCTCAGTCTCCAGGCGTGTGCTACCCTCAGCAGGTCTATAGCATCTGTACCGCTGGCAGAAATGCAGAGCTCTGGGTCCCACCCCAGACCCGATGACTCAGAACCTGTCCTTGAACCCCACTGACCCCCAGCTGATTCCGAAGCATTCTTATCACCTCTTTTGCAGTGACAGAAAATTTGCCCGAAAAGGAGCAGACCCTGACTCTCCCAGCAGGTGCATCTGTGCCTGCCCCCACTCTCAGCAGGGCTCTTGTCCTCAGGAGACCCTCTCCTGGGAGCCTTTGCCCCTCCAGCATCACCCACACAGAGCCCAGACCCCTCACCTGTGAAGCCGCTGGCCTGGCTCGGGTTCACGATGATGACCAGGGCCAGCAGGGCCAGCCCAAGGGTCCTGAGCATGGCTGGGCAGTGGTGGTGACTCCGGATCTCTCCTGAGTGGCAGCACGAAGGGGCCTGGGCTGCCTGGACCCAGAGAGAGGGCCCTTCTCTCCCCAGCACCACTGATCGTGGCAGTGGCTTCAGACAGGAGGGACTGCCGGGAGCAGTCCCTTATGCCCGCTTGTGAACACCAGCCACCACTGTGGCCGTGTCCCCCGGGTCACCAGGGTGTCATGGCCCATCCTCCATCCAGGCAGATGGCATCTCTCAGGAAAGGTGAGTACCCACCTGCCAGACTACATCGCTGGGTCCCATCTCGTTGTTACGCAGAAAACACATCTCAGACCCGAATCTGACTCCCTCCATCAAGTCCAAAGTATTCTCTTACCTTATCATAGCGAACTGGCAGGAGAAAACAGCAGCAAATCAAAGTGGTACATCAGATTCAGAGAGCATCCTTCGCACAATTGGACAAATAGATCAAAAGCCATAAACCTACCCCTGTGACCAAGTGATCCCTGCCTGAGGCTGGGTCTGAGGGCCATGAAGCTGCAGTCTCAGAGCTGTTCATCACTTGCCAGAATTTAAAGCCGTAGGGTGTGGAAGTGAGCCTTCAGGAGGAAGGCGGGTAGAGCATGTGAATGTAACATCGCCCAGACATGCACCCCGGGAGGACACTTAGCATGACACTTAGATGAGAAACAGCTTCTCATCTTGTGATATCAAAGCAGAGCCTCAAACAGTTCTGTCTCCAAAAAAAATAACAACTCCATGAGTCTATAAAAGTGGGCCCAGCCCAAGAAGGGCCAGAGGAATAAAACATTGTAAGGATGAACTGATGCTTTCAAACTGTGGTGCTGGAGAAGACTCTTGAGAGTCTCTTGGACTGTAAGGAGATCAAACTAGTCAATCCTAAAAGAAATCAACCCCAAATATTCATTGGAAGGACTGATGCTGGAGCTGAAGCTCCAATACTTTGGCCACCCGATGTAAAGAGCCAACTCACTGGAAAATACCCTGTTGCTGGGAAAGAATGAGGGAGGGAGGAGAAGGGGGGGACAGAGAATGAGATGGTTGAATGGCATCATCAACTTAATGGACATGAGTTTGAGCAAACTCTGGGAGATAGTGAAGGACAGAGAAGTCTGGTGTGCTGCCGTTCATGGTGTCGCAAAGAGTCAGACATGACTGAGAGACAGAACAACAACAAATGATGACAGAATGATTTATTTCAGTAGCCATCATGTGTAAACTGAATTTGTAAATTTCGTATCATATACTTCCTAGTCAATGCCACTTTCTTATTCCTCTGTTGGGTCATCTTTCATCACATGGTGCAATTTTTAATATTAAACTAGGCACAGTTGTGAACATTATACAAAGATCTCATTGGTTCTAGTGAGAAAACTTTCAAATAGGATAATAAAGATCCAGCTCGGCTCCATGGTTCAGATGTATAATTCCCTCGTGCTCAGCATACAGAACAGTTCTGCCAAGAGGGCCCTTCTGGCCTAACTCCCAAAGAACATGACTACATCTTTAATTCTCCAGAGATTAACCCCTGAGATGATTAACTGCTCGTTTGCATGGTTAATGACTAGATCACAGATGTCAGGATGAGGAAAAAAAAAAAAGAAGGAATTGGAAATAATCGTACAGTTAAGGGGCTCAGAGCAAGTCTCCTGGGAGCCAGTACCCTTTATAGAAGAACAGTACTCCAGGATTGACTCACAATCCTGCTGCTCTAATGGAGGCTTAAAAAAAGTGTCAATAAGAAAAGAGTGCAAGCTAAAGTTGTAATAGAACATTCAAGAGAATAAAGTTCAATTAGCACTAACAGAATAAATGTGTGTGTGTGTGTTACTTGCTCAGTCATGCCCAACTCTTTGCAACCCCATGGACTGCCAGGCTCCTCTCTCCATGGGATTCTCCAGGCAAGAATACTGGAGTGGGTTGCCATTCCCTTCTCCAGGGGATCTTCCTGACCCAGGGATTGAACCTGGATCTTCAGAGTTGCAGGCAGATTCTTTACCAGCTGAGCCACCAGTAGGAAAAGTATTACAATGACACCAAATATGAACATTTAAAATACGAGTTGAATCTGTATTCCAGTATTCTATCACCTCTTAGAACTTTTGCTGCTATAAGATACAAGCACTTCTCTAAAAGATGAGGTGGAATCAAAGATAATCTTGTCTTTTGAAACTGGAAATTGGCCTTGGGCACCACTTTTTCTCATCTTCAGAACCACCCTATGAAGTAGGTCCCTTATCTTCCTTGTACAGATGAAGAGACTGAGAGCCCAAGAGGCCCTCAGCAAGTGGGATTCAGTTCTGAAGCCCACATTCTTCACACTCCACCCGTGTCTGGACACAGTTCAACCAGGAGAGAACCCAGCCTCAGACTCAAGAGAGGCGAGCAAAATCCAGACCTTTTGTCTGCTGAGCGCTTCCTGCGAACTAGAAATTGTCCATAAAATATTGTTACAGTATGCCTTCTCTTCATATCAAAACCATGGGATTAAAAATTCCCTCACTCTCGGCAGGGTCTAGCTCTGTCCTCTTACCCTGCATTCGCATCCTCCGGGCACAGGCAGAGTAAGTGTGTAAGCTGTGTGTTTCTGGCTCATCCACAGCAAGGTGTTTCCCTCCAGCGTGCTTTTCTGCCTAATGCCACAGGGATTTCCTACATTTGACTTTCCCCTGTTAACACGTTGAGGAGAAAGAACCATGCCCTGTAACCAGCAGGGCGATGGATGGCCCTCCAGGACGTCACATCTGGGGGCATCCGGCCACCAATTCAACCAGCAAACGGCCCCCAGGTGCCCCTTCTGGAGTACAAAGTCCAGCATCCTGCCAATGCCATGTCTAAGAACGATGGGACTGGGGGAAGCCAGCAGGGTGCAAGCTGGATCCAAGGACCTGCACACACACTCGTTCACACTCACACACTCACACCACAGGTATCTACACATGTAGGCACATTCACACAGTCACCTATGAGACACTCACACTCACTCTCACATATGCAAGCTCACTCACACATGTCCGCATTCACACCCACATGTGTGTGTCTGTGAGCACACATGCATGCTGGCCCACACGTGTGTGTGTGCTGTCTCACAATGCTTGCTGGCACACTGCACAAGCATGCTTGCACACTCACAAGCTCACATGTGTGCCCGTATGTGCAGACACACACCCTGGCACTCTCTCACACACATACAAACAGGCAGGACGAGGGTGAGCTCCCCGACCCTGGAACATACATCTTCAAGGATGGAGCTGTGCCCACTGCCATCTGTGAGGAGCCTGGGTGGGCCGAGCCATCTGGAGGAGGAAGCGTTGAGTTAGGTGACCTCCAGAGGGCCTTTCTCCTCTCTGGCTCTGAGTTCTGTGGTCCTAAGAGCGAGGTTCAGCTGACTCCACTACACAATCACACCTGCCATTACCCCGCAGGCCAGAATGTATACATGCCCAGGGTCAACCTGGGATACGGCATCATGTGCGTCTGCTTGTGCAGAGCCATTACGGGCTCCAGAGGTCATCTGGGGTGGGGAGGGCATGGGCGGCTTTGTTCACAGCCTCCCTCCTAGAATCCTGCTCCACACGCAGCCCAGGGGACCACTGTCCACCAGGAAGGACGGGCAGGTAGGGCGCCAGGTGCTGTCCTGCTCTCTCTGACCCAGGCAGGGGCAGGATGCACAGAAGAGGCGTGGGTGGCAGAGGTGGGGACCGAGGGTGAGAACTGCATGTAGGACCTAGGGACAGGGTGGGGTCTGGAGACAGCTCTGCTTGTTGTCCATGGTGAGGTTGGTGCTGGAGATGGGGACATGCCCCCATCTCTAAAGGGTCATTTCCAGGGACACTAGCCATGACAGACGAAGTCCTGAATGGGCAAAGTCCGTTGGACACTAGTCCATGATGGATGAAGAGCTGAAGAGGAGCTTCATCAAGATGGGAAGACGTTGGATTTCAAAGGATCCCTAGGATCCTGGCTCGGCTCCTGACCCACTCCAGGCTGCTCTCTGCCACCCCAGTCACTTAGAGCCATGTTTCCCGGGACATAGTGAGGACCCCCCACATCAGAATCATGCGGATGGGCTTGTTGGAAGTGCAGGAGCCCCCAGCCTCACCCCAAACTTCTCAAACTGTTCAGGGGCCCCGGGGGCTCAATTCCCGCAGGAGCACACAGACGCTTGAGCAAACCCATCAAACCCTTCTAAATCCCCGAGGACACAGACCTGTGTGGGGCAGCCCCTCCCATGGGGCGTGGGTCTGCCGGAAAACTCCTCTCGACAGGCATCAAAGTTGACCTCCACTCTGGAGCCACCACTCAGGGGGTTCTGGTCCTCCCTGAAACCAGATGGCAAAACCACGTCAGCCTGCCCCATGACGGCTGACATCTCTTCTGGAGGGTTCTGAGCATCCTTATTTTTAGTGTGGTTGCTCTTATGGTCCCTCCCCACACACTCATCTCTCCTCCACCATAAACACACACAGACACACACACACACACACACACACGCAAACATACAGGCACACACAGACACACACAGAGACACAGACACAGAGACGGACGCACGGAAGGGCCCAGAAACGGGGAGGGGAGGAGCAGGAGAAGGGTGGCCTGGGAACAGGGGCCCACTCCCAAGGCACGCTCCGCTCCAGCCGCGCTGCCTCTGGATGGACCCGACTCTACCTGTGGCGCCTGGAGGCTACACCACCTGCCCTGGGCGAAGTCGCTTCTGGGGCAGAGGGAAGGGGCAAGCCAGTGGTGGTGGGGGGGGGGTGACACTCCTGGTGGCTGCCTCACTGCCCCCCCTCCCGGCCAGAGGGCCCACCCTAGGGTGTCAAGCTGGAGGTTTTCACTCCTGCCTGCCCTAAGGATGGGGTGACAAACCATCCTGGTTTGCCAAGGCTGAGGCATTTCTCAGGATGTCGGATTTCTCACTACAAACCCCAGGAAAGTCCCATGAAAACCAGGATGAGTTTGTCAACTACTGGGAATCTTGTTAAGAAACAGCAGTTCCCTCTCCCCATCCCCAGCCCAGGAAATGGCTTAGAACCTCTCGGGGAGGAGCAGTTACTTCTTTCTCTTTTTTAAAACATTTTATTTCATACTGGAATATAGCCAATTAATGATGTTGTGGACAGCAAGGGGACTCAGCCATACACATCCACGTCTCCATTCTCCGCCAGACTTTCTCATCCCGGCTCCCATATAACACTGAGCAGAGTTCCCTATGCTATGCAGTGGGACCTCATTGATTAAGGACCCTCTTCCTTTAAGGCATATTGCGGGGAGTGGTTTCAGGGAGACAGCAAGGTGGACAGCCCTTTGTCCAATCCAGACCCAGGGCAGTTTGCCAACAAAGAGACAGAAGTGAGATGCCCTTGGACAAGGTGCCCCCATGTCCCCGCTGAACAGCGGCCCTCCCAAAACATACCCAGGTCCTAATTCCTGGTCTCTGTGAACGTGCCTTTATCTGGAAACAGTCTTGCATATGTAACCAAGACAGAGACAGGAGTGATGCATCCACAGCTGAGGGACACCAAGGGTTGTTGGCCACAGCAGAAACTGGAAGAGGTGAGGAAGGAGCCTTGAGAAGGAACCATGCTGCTGACACCTTGGTTTCAGACTTTTGGCCTCCAGGATCTTCAGAAACTGAAGGTCAGTTATTTCAAGGGGCCCTGCCTGTCAGGCTGTGTTACAGTCACCCCCAGGACACTCGCACACCCCACTGGTCAGAGACGTAGTCTCAGCCACCTTTCGTCAGGCCTCCAACTGATGGTGGTGCTCTTCCCACCACCCCTGCCCTCTGCCCACCTCCCCTCTTC